GCCTTGGATCATAAAATTAGTGTTACACAGCTTTCATCATCATTCATCGTTTTTCACATGACCAGTTTTCTGCGGGAGTGCAGGAAGGCTGGGACTCAAGTGCTAAACTTTTATCAAAAGATAAATTGCCAGCAATTGTATCTGTTGGGCTAATGTTATAGATTTTGATTACTTTAGGACTACACTTTTTTAATTATGTTTGTGTATTTTGAATAAGGTGTTTTTTGTTTGTGTTTTAATTTTAAAAAGATTCTGGAAAGGAGACAATAAATGATTCAAACCTATAGTGTTATGGCATTTCAACAGGAGACTTTATCAAAATTTTACAAAGTCGTTCCAGCTATCAGGTTTTAATAGTTTCTTCCTCCTACAAGGAGGGAAAAATCCATATTTACTGTATGAATTGATTCCCATAAGATGGTGTATTATTCTCAATGTGGATCTCTAAGATTTTATATTATAATGTTTTGGGGAATTGATAATCACTTTGTACCACATGCTGCCATTTCCAAATATATCTACCATATTTTCTGTTTTAGAGTGACCAAAAGTGGGAAATAGTCTAGGGAAAAAAGTGTGTGGGGTCATAAAAATACAATATTGACTTCCTCATCTACCTACACCATCAGAAAAAGATAGATTTGGAAGGAAAACTTGGAGTAGTTATTTATGGATAATAACTGCCAGTCGGAGGTAATCCCAGCCAAGAATTTGGGGGGAAAGGGAGCTGGATTGGGGACTTTGGTTAGACTGATTATAGAGGTGGGGACCAGCTCCCAATCTGAATGTCTCCAAAGTTCAAAGGGTATTTGAATCAAGGATTGTAATTTGGGTCCATCTCTGCTGTCCATCAGTGAGTTGAGTGCCTATTCAAATAATTAGGTTTTCTGGTTTTTGTTACATCTGTCAACTAAATGAGAGCTCTAAACACAAAATATTAATTCAGATACTTCACTCTTTGACTGGTTTTCTATTGCAAAGGCTCTTTTAATGACTTTAATAACAATATATATGGCAATGATAAATTATATTAATTGTTTTGAAATCTATTTGTTCTGCTAAAACTGCAAATCTTTCTCGGTACTGTAGGACTCATCTCTACTTCTACAGTCTGCTCATAATGTGACTGTGAATGCTCGCAATTCAGATGGTGAAGTCACAGGCAGATTAAACGTGGGTAAGTCTACATTATTTTCTTTTATTTAGCATTTTGTATGGATTTTAATGAATATTTGTAAAGAGTTTTGAACATATAAAGGTCTGTATACATGCTAATTGTTCATTATGATAACCACATTTGAATAGCCCACCTGCCACACAATATGTACTAAGATCATATTTCTCACTCACCAATTAATTGGTAACTCCATAAATGTATAAAGCATTGTTTCCTGCAGGTTTTGACAGGAAAACCAAAGGTTTGGATGTCTGTTTTTGTCTCTCTGTCATTAGCTTTTTACAAAATTGTTTAAATGGTTCTACTTTCTGTTTTTCTTTCACACTCTTTGATGGCTGTACTTGTTTATATTAGGCAGTTTAGGGGTGTAACTGACTGGAGGAAGTAATATATATGCTGTTTCAGTTAATTGAAACAGTAGTGTATTTGTGCTTTCATTTTCTCTCTCTGTCCAGAGAGGGGTATCAGATGGAATTTGAGTGCGGTCAATTCAAATTTGACATGGTTTTGAGTGCTTGCCTTTACATTCACTACAATGGTGTATCATGCCTGAGGCAACTAACAGAGCTGTCTAAAGTAAACCTCCTCCTTCAAAGTGCTCTGGAGCAAATTAGGCAGAGTAAAGTGCTTGAATTATGTCTATTTCTTCAAATCCTGGTGACTGCTGGATTATCTATACTACAAAAAAACTATAATATTGTCTTCCTTTTTGAAGTATTAGTTAAATAATTTTTTTACTCTTTTTGAATATATTTTTTAAAAAGAATTATCACCTTATGTTGAGGAATCCAGAACTCTTTAAAAAGACAAGCGTTCTTCTTTGAGTGCTTGTCCATATGTATTTCACTCTTCGTGCACATTCACCCCATGCATTCAAGTTTGGATTCTTTTGGCCAGCAGTGGCGGTTGGGGCCGTATCTGCACCCTTCATGGCCTAGTACTCCACTACCCAAGCGCATAAAGGGTGGCATGACCCGAACTCTCCCTCAGTTCTTTCTTACCACCTATTGCTATGAATAAAAACTTTGGCAGTATCCAACCCTCTCACTGTGTGATTTATACTTTCTAGTGTAAATAGTTCACGATAGTTATAGTTTTAGATCGTTAGTAATAGTTTTAGACTTTTATTCTCCCTTTAAAAAAAATCCATATTGTTTTCCATTAGTTTTCCTAATGAGACTTTCCCAGTATCAGGTCCAGCACTTATGGATGAAAAAAAGTCTCCTACGTTTAAAAACTGCCCATCTTGTGGTATAATAATGCTGCTTAATAATGGACCTATTGTGCCTGAGTAAAGGGTACATTCCTGACAAGTGTGCCATTTAAAAGTCATTCTCTAAGAGAACACAAAGGTAAGAGAGGCTCACCGCATGCTATTTTTACTGGGGAAGTCTATACGCCCCTCTTCAGATCCTTCTGCACCTAGGCTCTTGGTACTGGCAACATTGGTACGCACCACTGGGGTACTGATAGCTTCTGTCCACCCTGTCGGTGGTAGTGACATTCTTAGAACCAACAGTTTACTCGATACTGGGTGATCGGACTGTCTTGGAATCACCACTTTTGTCTTGGATGAACATAACAACTTCAGTACCAGCTAATACCCCACGACAGTGCCTAGTACCTTGGCGATACCAGCTAAGGGACACACTGAAGTTTTACCTGAGACCCCAGTTAAGACAGTTCCACCTCTAGGAGAGAAATAATCTTTCTCCTCTTAAGCTTTGGAGCATAGTAGGGATGCATTGCCAACACACTCCCAGAGGTCCAGGTCTTTTGATCCCTATGGTTCTGAAAAGGATTCAGGGGCACATTATTATAATGCTAGACCTAGGGGTTCTAAAAGGTACACTTCCCATGGTATCTCCCGCTATGGCCTTCTGCCCCATACCCTTACCATCTTCCTTGGCCATATTTGGCATCAGCCGCTTACAGACAGCCAGGATGCAGCCCCATCCAGGGTTAGGTCCCTCTCTCCACATAGATATCAGAAAGCCCTGCAGGTAGCTCAGACAGTGATTCCATCTGCTGAATGCCAAAAAGATCAGGGCTCTGAGGAAGAGGATTTGCAGGCTGCTGTCAGATAATACTGTTGCCCATTTCCTGTTCAACACTTGATAAAGCTGTGGTACAATTGTCATCAAGCGTACAGCCTGATGATTATAAAACATTTCAAGAATCATTATGCTGGAAGGTGGACATTCTTGAAATTCCATTGGATGCTTTCCAGGAGAAATCCCATAAAGCATATATACATCTCTGCCTGGGTAGTTTGCAATGCCAAAAAATTACGGCCTGCTGGAGCCAGTCAAAATCCTCAGGAAGACACGTGACACTTACATCTGGCTGACACCTACATTCAAAAGGACTGATCAACAGTATCAAGTTCCCTCATGAGGATTTGAGCAGTTCTATATGCATCCCCTTCCTGGGTCACTAGTAGTAACAGGGGGACCAGACAACAGGGACCACCAAAATCTATGCCCCATGAAAAAGAACCTTAGAAACTTGGTTTATTCAGCTGCAAAAATTATTCTTCTGCCAGTCTGATTGCCAGTTATCAGTGTTTATTGGCAAAATACGATTATTTAAATCAAGACAACTGTTTTTAAATTCATGGACAAAATTCCACATGGCAACAGAGAGAAATTCAAGTCTCTTGTCTCAGAGGGCCGACTCATGGCACACACTTCTCTCCAGGTTGCTCTTGATGTTTTGTACACAGTGGCAAGATCCATGGCCACATCTTTTGCCATGAGGAAGTCCTCTTCACTAAAATTGCCCTGAATACCTAAAGAAGTACAAACAGCAATAGAGAACCTGCATTTGAGGGATATGATTTGCTTAATATAAAGACTGATGAGGCCTTACGTTCATTAAAAGATTCTCAAGCAATACTGAGCTCTTTAGATGTTTACACACCTACATTGAGAAGTAAGCAAGTCAGGCCACAACCATATTTGAGAGAAACCTATTACTCACAACAGAGAAGTTT